AGTTCTTGTATTCATAAACAAAAAAAAAAACTTTAAAAAATTGAGCTTCAAATATGACTGTCATGGTAATATTTTATAATGACAAATGTGCTAGAAACATAAAGAACTTTGAAAAAAAAAAGCAATTACCCAGTTCTCAGAAACCCCCTGGCTAACATGTGTGTCATTCCTGCTGTTCCTTTCCCTATTTGCACATATGAATTGTGTGTAAAATAACTGGCATCAGATTGGCATAGTTTTGTGGTAGGCTTTTGTCATTTATCACTATAACATGGACATTTCTTCATGTAATTAACATTCCTAAAAATTATATTTAATGAATACCTTATGTTTTATCACTTAGGAATGAGCCATCACTTTTCATTTATGCTGGAAATTATCCTATGAAGGCTTTAAGACAATATTTCAGTTAGAAATTCTTTTGTTTGCAAACAACTAAAACCCTAACTTGAACAAATAGGACTTTCTCTTCACATAAATTTGAAGGGGGTCACTAGGTTTGAGTCAACAGTGTCACAGCCGTTTCCTTGGGACATCTTTGACCATCCTTCTTGCTTTTTCACCTATACTTGCAAGGTGATCACATATCTCTAGGTACCACATCTGTTCTTGATATGGAAAGAAAGGAGGAAGAACAGCACAAGTAGCATTTCCTCTTTCCAAACAATTTCCCAACAGACTTCTTATACCTCATTGGACAGAACTGCCTTTCTAGTCACTCCAGCAACAGAGAGATAGAAAAAGTAATAAGTCATCTCACAGGTCCCATTAAGGGCAAGCAGGGGAGAGGAGAAATGGGAGTAGGATCTGGGTTAGCTAGACCAGGTCAACTGTGAACAGTCAGTCACAGTCATTTAACTATTCAGCCGTTAGTGGACACTGCTGTTTCCAGTTATACTGTCTTATAAGTAATATCACAATAAACATCCATGTACATTCATTTACCAAACTATCTATTTCCCCAGTGTGATGTCCTAGAAGCAGCATTTTAACTATGCTTACATTTACATCTCTTTTACATGTCAGTAAACTCCTTTCTAGAAAGTTCTCACCAGTGCACACTGCCACTCATTACATGAGAGGTGGGCACTCCAAGTAGGACACACACTTAATCAGACTAGTAAGTTAGGATACACTGAGCCTTGGCATCTGCCAGAGGTCTGACTAAGAATGCAGATGGTAATATGCATAATTCTGTATATTTCAATCAGAGGTCTCGATGCAATTGAAGGGCATGTAGTGGAAAGTGTTCTTGCAGCACCTGGACCTAAGGATTCTGGAAAGACTGAACAGCAAGGAAAAAACCCACAGTAAGCTTCCCTGCACTGCTCTTTCTTCCTTGTTAAGTGAATAAACATGCCTTTAGCCCGTGTTTCTCAGCAGGTGCATGTTAAGAATTTGGGTGGGACAAACAGGCCTTAACTGTGGGTACTCTGCATCCCCATATATGCAGGCAATATGTTCCAGTCTGTGACAAGCACAAGCATCCCCTCCCTCACCACCCTGTGTATCACCAGCCATGTGTGACCAGGCTTCCTGGCCCTCAGTTTCAGCACACTGTCAGCTGTTATTTAGCAAACATGTGCTTGACAAGGCAGAACCACCTGAGTGTCTGGGAAGGTGGCAGGGGAAAGCATTAAATTTTATTCTTTAAAGGCAATGTGTTCAGGGCCCTCCCTGGTGGCACAGCAGGTTAAAGCACAGCACTAAGAAGCTAAAGCCACTTCTGCATAAGTTCAATCCCCACCCTGGAGGTGACCTGCATGGTGCAGCAGACCTCTCCTGTCTCACCCGCTGCTCCCCTCAGCAGTGCACTTCATCAGTCAGCCTATTCCACTTCCCACTCTGTCTCTGGCGAATCCTCTCACCGCCCCTGCACCTCAGGCCTGTACCCCAGTTCTGTATGCATAAATAAAAAAAACCTTAAAAAAAAAAAAAAGCCCCAGAAATATACCTTGCCAGGTTGTCCTGCCTGCAGGCACAAGAAAGAAAGGCTGCTTGTGAGCCCCTGCCTCAGACTTAGAATTAAAGAGGAAAGTCCACAGGCAGTCAGCATTCAAGATGTCTTCTGTACAGATTCAGAATTGGGTCTTGTCTTGAGACAGCAAGGAAAGAGGAAGTTTGGAAATTAACAGGTGGGAGAATGAGAAATGGAAAGAACCCCAGGAACAGAGGGGAGTAACAGTCATTAAATCAGGACTATAACAAAGAGGTAGAGAGCACAGGCATCCACTTCTACCTGAGTTACTGGCCCATTAAGGGCAAGTGAAGGCAAGAGACAAGTTAACAGGTCAGTGCCTGACAACATGTGAAAAAAAACATACAGGTAGAGTTTTAGGGGGGCAATAGGAAGTTTGCACTGCCCTGAGTTTCAAACACACAACACACCGTATACTGCTTTTGTTCTGTGCCCACCAGCAGGTCTCCAGCAGGATGCGGGGTGGGCACAGACACCAATCAGGGGAGGGGCAGGTGAGTTCCCAGCTCAGCCCAGAAAGCTGGCTTGAGAGTCATGTAGGACGAGTTTGAACTGACAGTGTGGTGAGGAAGCAGACTGTAACCTGAATGACTCCTCTACATCTAACATAAAGAGTGGGTTGTTTGCAGTTTTCACAGTTAAAACATGTCTTCTCCTAAGAACATGCAGAATAAGATAGATGCTGGCCAGTGTGGGGGTAAAAGGATGTAAGATGGGAGAAGAATAACATGTCTCTAAAGCTCTCAATGACCAAAATCAAGAGTTCCAAGTTTCTTCTAAAGAGAGCATTAACACACTTGTCTAGTTCTTGAGTAGTTTTGTTTTATTTGCCTTCAAGCAATTCATGAAAATGTATATATTTGAATATTTAAAAGTTTAAAAATGAGGAGAGTTTTCCTTGCTTCCACTGACAATATGTGTGTATACTATGGCTTACACCATTCTCCTTTCACAAATGATGACAATAACATGTGGGCACTGCCTGGTGAACTGGTTGCATCTCCTGTCTGGCACAGTGACATGGAGGACACCTTCTAATTTTGGTTCCTGCTTCCTTTACAAAGTGGGCCCACTTATCTTACCTCCCTACTCCCAGAAGCAGTTTGTGCACATGACCATGTGACCACCATTCCCCATTTTATTAATTTATTTGTTTATTTTCTTGTATTGCTGTTCATTTTTAGACAGTATGTCATTTGTCCTTTCTGATGAAGTTCCCATAATTCTTCATCCACCACAGCACCCATGAACCATCACCATAGTCCCTTGTGCTCTTCCCTCCCTTGTTTTCACCCTTCTCCCTCCCCCTTCCCTGCTGTATACCTCGAAAATATGGTCAGTCTACAAGTTTTGTCTTTTCTTGTTTACCTTTTGTTCAGTTTCTTTACATTCCATATATAAGCAAAACCATTCAATATTTGTCTTTTTCCATCTGACTTACCTCACTTAACATAACCCCTTCCATATTGCCACAGATGGCATGAATTTATCTTTTTCATCACTCAGTAGTATTCCACAGTGTATATATACCTCATCTTGATCCATTTGTCTGTTTTGGCTCACTTAGTTGTTTGCATATCTTGTCTTTTGTAAATAGTGCTGCAGTAAACATAGGAATGCACTTTTGAATTAGTGTTTTTGTATCCTTTGGATAGGAGCGGATTGCTGCTTCTCATGGTACACCATTTTAGTATTCGGAGGAACATCCACACAGCTTTCCAAGCTGACTGGATTGGTTTGCATTCCTGCCAGCAATATAAGAGGGATATTTTTTGTCCACATTCTCACCAACATTTGTTGTTTCCAGTTTTTTAATATGAGCCATTCTCACAGGTGTGGGTGGTATGTCATTGTGGTTTTAATTTGCATTTCCTCGATTATAAGTGATGTTGAACATTTATTCATGTGCCTGTTAGTCATTTGTACTTTTTTTTTTGGAGAAGTGTCTTTTTAGCTCATTTGCCCACTTTTAAAAACTGTGTTGTTTGCTTTGTTTTTGTTGAGCTCTGTAATAGATCTTTGATAGCACCCTTATCAGATATATAGTATGTAAATAATTTCGCCTTTCTCTAGGGTGCCTTTGTTTTGTTGCTGTCTTTTTTGCTGTACAGAAGCTTAATTCGATTTAGTCCTAGCTGTTTATATTCTCCTTTGTTTTCCTTGTTTCAGGAGATAACATCCCCATTTTAGAAATGGAAACGCACACACACAAAGAAATGGTAACAAGGATGTGTAACAAGTTAACCACATGTGCCTCATTTGTTAAGTGAAAACAGAAGAAAATAATGGAAACAGTAGTGGGTTCATATCGCCAACAGTGTCATGTAAAAAACAGCAATTTGAGAAAAGATCATTCGAATCTCACATGAGCAGAAAGGTCAGGATTAGAAACTGGCCCCAGCTGTGTCCAAAGCGCCCAAGCTCCTTCCAGAATCCTTCTCTGAGAGAAGCGTAGGGAGTCAGACCAAGGGGCATTAAGAGTCATGTGATTCACTTTTCTTCCCAGTTCTGCTTTCTTCACCACTGCAGTGATTTTAGCCTGTGGCTACCTCCTCTGTTCCAGCACTTGTGTGTCTAACAGCTCAAAAGCAGGCAGGCGGGCCATGGTGGCGCAGCGGGTTAAAGCACAGCACTAAGAAGCCTAAGCCACTTCCGCATGAGTTCGATCCCCGCCTGCCCCGGAGGAGATCCACACGGCGCGGCAGACCTCTCCTGACCCGCCCGTTGCTCCCCTCAGCAGTGTACTTCGTCCAAATGCCTGTTCTGCTCCCCACTCTGTCTCTGGTGAATCCTCTCACCCTCCACATCTCTGGCCTCTACCCCAGTTCTGTATGAATAAAAAAAAAAAAAAGCAGGCCGGCCAGAGACAATGCTCTCACACTACATAACAGCATGATGGGGACACACATGTGCACACACATGAGCATGCCGCACAACACTTCTCTGGCACTTGCTTGGGGTTACGTGCTAGCGTCTGCCTGCTAACAAACATTGTTCCCTCATAGGTTAGTGATCGGAAGCGATGGGCGACTGGAGCTTCTTGGGGAGACTGTTAGAGAATGCGCAGGAGCACTCCACGGTTGTCGGCAAGGTGTGGCTAACCGTGCTGTTCATCTTCCGGATCCTGGTGCTGGGCGCGGCTGCGGAAGAAGTCTGGGGAGATGAGCAGTCGGATTTTACCTGCAACACACAGCAGCCAGGCTGTGAGAATGTGTGCTACGACCAGGCCTTCCCCATCTCGCATATCCGCTTCTGGGTGTTGCAGATCATCTTCGTGTCCACACCCACCCTCATCTACCTGGGGCATGTGCTGCACATCGCACGCGTGGAAGAGAAGAAAAAGGAACGAGAAGAAGAGCTTCAGAAGGGGGCCGGCCTGCACCCCAGCGCCAAGGACCGGCCCCCTGCCCTGGATGAGCTGGGTAGAGTCCGAATCGCCGGGGCCCTGCTGCGGACTTACGTCTTCAACATCGTCTTTAAGATGCTGTTTGAGGTGGGCTTCATCGCGGGCCAGTACTTTCTGTATGGCTTTAAGTTGAAGCCCCTATACCGCTGTGCGCAGTGGCCCTGTCCCAACACGGTGGACTGCTTCATTTCCAGGCCCACAGAGAAGACCATATTCATCATCTTCATGCTGGCAGTGGCCTGCCTGTCCCTCTTTCTCAATCTGCTGGAGATCTACCACCTGGGCTGGAAGAAGTTGAAGCAGGGTATCACCAACCACTATTGCCCAGAAGCCTCTGTGCTGGTGCAAAAAAAACCTGGAGGTGTCGGCCCTCTCATTCTGCGCCCCCATTCAGCCCTGCCTGCTGTCACCGTCGGATTCCCGCCCTGCTCCACTCATTCTGCCTCTTCACTGGCACAGACAGCTTACCCCGGGACCACTCTGCCAGCAACAAACTTCAAAACGGTAGCCCTGGCTGAGGTGCATGGGAAAGGCCACCCAGCCAAGGTCTTCAGTGGCAGCCGCTGCCTGCTGGGCACAGAGCAGAGTCAGGCCAAACAGGAGGTCAAGCAGCAGGCTTCAGCAAGGAGCAGCTCCCTGCTAGTTTCTATTCCTGCAGGCCTAACCACTCCGGGCAACACCCAGCAGGCCCCTCGAGAGGGCAGAGCAGGAAACAGAGTGCTCTTGGTCAATGGGAATGGCCGCAGCTCCGCAGACACACCTGATGCAGGGGAACCAGCTGCCATCACCAACATAGAGCTACACAGGCCCCCTCTGCTCCTCCGAGATGCAGGGCAGTCAGGCAAGGCGAGCAGCAACAGGGCCAGACCAAATGACTTGGCTATCTAGCGATTGTCTCTCCAGACAGCTTTACAACTCTTTTCTAGCATCCCAAACCAAAGTGCAATTCAAATCAGCAGAGAGAGCTCAAAAGAGGTAGAATCGAGGGAGAAAAAGGTCAGAAGAGACTAGGGTTCTGTGTGTTGGTGCTTGCTGTTCTGGCTGGGGAGGTGTCCACAGAATGGGTTGCAATGGCTATTGGCCTTTAAAGAGCCCAGAAACCCTGGCCACTGTGTAAGTGTTCCTGTTCATGAGGGCTTCCTCAGTCTGTGCAAGAAATTGCTCTGTGGTGGCTAGGCAGCAGGTGTGTGGGGGGCAATTAAGTTTCTTTAATTCCTAAATTCTCCAGAGCTCTGGGCAGCCTAGAAAATCGTAGATGCACTTAGCCCTATCTTTTTTTAATACTTTAACTTAGAGTTGAATTTCATTTGGGATATTTGCCAACCACTCAAATAAGGTTTAGAGCAGGTCCATCGAGTGTCATTTGAGTTTCTGAAATTGCATGTGAGGCCCAGACATCAAGCTGCTTGAAACCGTTGACCATGGGTAGTTACTTCCTGGGCAGCATTTGGAGCCAGGGCCAGAGGTTGCTGGTAGAAAGCAGGTCAAATACATCAATACCAGAAGTATTTTAAACAGCTAAGGACAGTGAAATCTAAGTGTGGTCAGGTGCCTTGGGTTTTTGTTTGTTTGTCGTTTAATGATACTGTGTGCTTTAATCTGAATTATACAGTATTGCCTCTTTTTCCCAACTTTATATCTTCAGGAGGAAATGAAAGAAAAAAAGTAGTACAATTAAAATGGATGCTGACCCAGAGAAGGCCGATTTGGTCCATTACATACTAGTAACGATTTGAACTTTGTTTGAAAAGAAATTCTTCGACTTCATGAGCCAGCTAATGACTTTGAAAATGTACTGTGTAAAATAAAAGCAGGGAAAAGTTTTAAGTGCATTTTAAATACTTGAAGTTGTGAAGTTTTGAGTGCAAGGTTAAAAGTTAACTATTTTTGCCAAAAAAGATTATTTATACAGATGAAGAATTACCTACTTTTTTTTTTAACAGTATAAAATAAAACTCTTCAAACTCCCAACCATTCTCCACCAGCAACTTGTTTGCTTTCCACTGGATTTTGCTTCCTGTGTTAGTGTGTGTGCTGACAGGAGATCTGTGCCTTCCTTGTCATGCACACAGAGCAGGTCTGTGTGTGGTGTGTATGTGTGTGTGTCTGCAGGATGACAGAATTTTCTGTACTGCACACGATGCTGTTCTGCCTTGGTCACTGTTTATAAAACCATGAGCACTGGTGTGCTGAGCCCGGTACCCTCCTAACCTCCAACTCCTGTGAAATATAGTGACCTTTATTCAGCCACACACTTTCCTGTTTGATTCATTTCATTATGAATTATTTTAAGTCCCTGTCAACTTATTTGGAGCCATATTCCACAGCAAACTTTGAGTTTCACTGAGAGCCTTGTGAAGATGAGACTGAGAGCTATAATTTATAAAAAAGTAAAATTTTGCAATATAACGGTATTTTCTCAGGTTAGTGTTCTGACTTCAATTCATATTTATAAAGGACAGCATGTCTTATGTTGTCATTTGAGGTAGCCAAGACAAGAGCCCTTGCATCAAATGGAGGAGCAATGTGAAAAATTACTCTCTATCTAAATCATCATTTTAAACATTGAAATGTGCAACAAAAATAGAAATCACCTTTCTCTATGGGCAAGATTCCAGATATATATTTTCTAGTCTGTTATTTTAAAACTTCACTGAAACCATTTTCTCCCTCAACTTAATAGAAGTTTTAAAAATGTATATCTATATCTATATATATATAATGTTATATTTATATTTATACTCATTCTTTTATAATCTGCATTATACAGGGTGATTACTTTTTTCTACCCCCGTTTTTAGAAGTCCAGTAATTCAAATACCCACCACATAAAGTAGTTACAAAGTGTTAAGCAGAACTATATTCACAGTATCCAATCCATTATTTAAATTTAAGATATTTCCTATAGAATCACTATTTTTAAATTTTAAATATATTTATTTATTTACATTGTTGTTCATTTTTATCCAGTATTTGATTTCTCCCTCCAGGTGTAATCTTCATAAAATTTCTACCACTAAATCACCCATGAACCATCACCATAGTCTCTTAGGCTCTTACCTCCCGGTGTGATCCCTCTCTCTCCTCCTCCCTTACAGAATGTCTCTGAATTCTAGATTCCCTACTAGTTTTGTTTTTTCTGTTTGTTTGTTTGTTTGTTTGTTTGTTTTTCTGACCCCTTGTTTGGTTTCCCTATATTTCTCCTATAAGTGAACCCATCCAATATTTTTTTTTATTTGACTTAGCATAATTTCTTCCAGCTCCATCCATGTTGCTACAAATGGCATAATCTTATCTTTTTTGATTGCTGAGTAACAGAATCACTGACTTTTTAAAACAAGGTAATTTTACCAACTTGTTCTTTTTCATGAAATAGATAAAAAGATGCCTTAAACAAGAAGAAAAAGAGAACACAGAATTCTTCCATCCCAGTCTGATTTTCTTTGATTTGTAAGTGACTATATTGTATATTTCTTACAAGACAACCTAGAATAAGAACTATGAAATAATTTTTCTCCCAATACCTTACTTATAGATGTCTGCAAAATCATTTTTTTAAAGATTTATTTATTTATGCATACAGAACTGGGGTACAGGCCAGAGTGCAGGGGTGACGAGAGGCCTCACCAGAGTCAGAATGGGGAGCAGAACAGGCAGACTGATGAAGTACACTGTTGAGGGGAGCAGCGGGCAGGTCAGGTGAGGTCTGCCACGCCATGTGGGTCACCTCCGGGGCAGATGGGGATTGAACTCATGCTGAAGTGGCTTAGCTTCTTAGTGCTATGCTTTAACGCCCTGTACCACCAAGGAGGGTCCTGCAAAATCAATTCTTATGGAGCCTATTGCTTGGTCTAATAAGTAAATATTTTTGTAAAGCTCAGTTGTTTTCTGCTATCCAACCCTCAAAAGTTCAGAATATTCCAAATAATGTTTAATTATGACATGTAGACACTAAGTGAGAAAATGTATTTATCATCATAATTTTATATTTTATTACAAAGCCTAGGCTTACTCCTCACTAAAGAAATTCACTAAGCTTTCTTATTGCCCATAGGGGTTTTTCCCCCTTTACATTATAAAATTTCTGAACAAGATTTTTTTCAATATTTATTTATGCATACAATAGCTGGGTACAGGCCAAAGATACAGGGGTGAGAGGATTCACCAGACAGAGTGGGGAGCAGAACAGGCAGATTGACTGAAATACACTGCTGAGGGGAGCAGCACCATGTGGGTCACCTCCCCAGCCAGAGAAAGAACTTCTGCTGTAATGGCTGCCAATAGCTTCATAGTGCTGAGACTTAACCCCTTGTGCTCTCAGGGAGAGACCGCAACAAGATTTTTTTATGGTCAGTTAGGAATTTAACAGTAAAAACACACTTGAAAATCTTTGGCTTGTGGGCCCTTAATCCTCCCCGGTGGCGCAGCGGGTTAGGGTGCAGCACTGCAAGCTATCTGCAGCCGCTTCAGTGCAAATTCTAGACCTCACCCCACAGGTGATCCACATGGCACAGCAGACCTCTCCAGTCTCTCCAGCTTCCCCCTTCAGCAATGTACTTCATTGATCTGCCTGTTCTGCTCCCTACTCTACTTCTGGTGAATCTTCTCACAGCCCTTGCACCTCTGGCCTATACCCCAGTTCAGTATGTATAAATAAATAAATCTTTAAAAA